CGTGGAGGTTACAGATTTAAAGATGCTATGATTATTGTTTATCAGAGACCTGGAGAAACAGGATTATAAGCAAGTACAAGTAAATAGACAGCTCAGGTTGGGTGCTTTGGTGGTCTGAAGTTAGAGAGGCAAAGTTGAGCTTGCTTGTACATGTGCAGAGGAAGGATTGTCAAAGGATGTTGAAGATGGAGCTGCCAGGCAGGAGTAAAAGAAGACAACCTCAGAGGAGGTTTGTGAATGAAGGAGGACAGAGGGTTGGTGTGATGTGGGAGGATGCTAGAGATAGGGTGAGATGGAGGCAGATGAAAAATAGTAATTTGTTGGACAAAAGTCAGATTTATTGAAAGTTTCCTCTGACAAGGGAATTTTTGTACCATAATCATAATTCAACTGACACTATTAGTTTCTATAGCAAACCTTCTACAGCCCGGGAGGAAGTGCAGCTAGGAAACGGTGCACTGAAAGACAAACCACTAACAGCATAATAAAACAAAATGTTGCATTATGATCATTTTATCTCAAAATTCACATCATATCCTTCCAGTCCAAAGTCCAGTCCTTTCTCCGCATTGATCCATGTTTCAGAAATGGCAATAATTCCAAATGGATTTGTCAACTCATTTAGATATTCCTTTATATTGTTGAAGTTGGCATGATGGTGTGTATAAACTGTTCATCGGTGAAGTAGCAGCAGTCATTGCTGATGTTGTAGAAGAAATTATTTTCTGGGTCTATATCCTTTTCTAAGTCTAGAACATTATGGTCTGTGTATCAAAATGTTCTCAGTTCCAAATGATCATAAACAGAATTCCAAAGAGTTATATTGATATTGTTGTCAGATGCAGATTATTAAATTCAGGTCTTTGCATTCTTTTGGACGAAGAAAGACTCATGGCTCAAAGTGGTCCAATTCAAAAAATGATCTTTATTTTACATTCCTGGGAATGTGGAGCTGTTAGGCGCTATCATGTACCCACGGTTCTGAAACTAATCACCAAACAGAATCTGTATGTGTCTTGTTCGGCTACGTCACACACACCCCCTCAGTTTACTCAGTTCCTCTTTCTTTGTGTCAGATTTCCGGTGCAGCTTTGCACTAACTTCCCCTTTCTAAGGTCTGTTGCAAGGGCAACTTGTCACCCTTAACCTAGTTTTGTCTCGTCTGAGCTTAGTTTCTAAAGGCCTTTCTTATTAAAATACATAAAACAATATAAGCATACAATAAGCACTAAGAATATATATTAAATACATGACAGTTCACCCCCTTTTTGTGTTTCCCCAATAAACACAACATAATTCCTAATTCATCCCATTAATTTTACTTGCATGTGAAAAAAGCTACGGTATAACAAAAGTGATTATGCCAAACCACATGAAAGCATTCACTTGCCCAACCATTTATGTCATGGTCCTGGGTCCTTTTGACCCAGCGTTTTGTGTTTTCTTTAGTGTGATTGTTGGTTCTGTTCTTCCTCTGTTTAGTGTTTACTCTGTTCTGCCCGTGTGTTCCTGTATCAAGTCCGCGTTTCTTAGTCTGTGTCCTTGCATGTGTAAGTTCCTGTTTTATTGTGAAGGTCTGCGTCTTATGTGAGTGTTTTCAGTTCGCCTCCCTAGTTCGTCACGTTAATCACTCCCTGCCCAGCTGTGTGTAATCTCCCTGTGTTCTCTGAGTGTTTTTAAGTCGTGTCTTCTGTCTTAGTCGTTGCTGGTTCGTCTGTGTTATTCCCCTCCGTCTTCCTGTGTTTGTTCCCCCGTCTTCCTGGACTTTTTCCCTGCAAAGGTACTCTCGTTTGTGTTCTGGTTTTGTTGTTTAAGTTCTGGTTTTTCCCAGTTTAGAGTACTTTCAGTTCTGTTTCTCGCCACCCCTGCTTTGTGTGGTACTCCACCCCTTTGGTTTTTAAAGCTCACTCACAACTACGCAGTCTGCATCTTGGGTCCGTTTATATTTTCATACAGCCTGACTTCCCTAAATGCTCACGGTAAAATTCAATCAGATATAATTAACTTTATCCTGTTATCGGTCTGATCCTTCCTAGATTCTCGCCAACCCCTCCGTGATTTCCCTCTGGTTCTGGAATCTCCTGTAAAGGATAAACAAAACACCTCTCCCTGCTACGCCTCTATAACCTATTATTGTCACGGCTGCCGAGGCGAGCCGTGTGGAATAAATGAGGATCCAAGCGCAGGCAGTCGTAGAGGAGTGAAGGTGATTTATTGAACACAAAAGAATGTGAACAAACAGCAAACGGGGCTCGAACTAAACTAAACTGGGAAACGACTAAACTACAGAGCACAAACCTGAATGAAAAACGAGCAGAGGAGGATGACGATGAACAGCAGGGAGAAGACACGGTGGATACACAGACTGACACTGAGTAATACAGACGAACCGGCAACAGGCAGGAGAACACACAGGGCTTAAATACACACACCAGTAATCAGGGGATGAGAGACAGGAGGGCAACACAGCTGGGAGAAATCAGAGCTGACGGGACAGGGGAAATGTAAACTGAACACACTCACATCAGACATGAACCTTCAGAATAAAACAGGAAACTAACAGACACAGAGAACCAGACAGGACACTGAACTTGACAGGCAGACTCCTGAGCAGACACAATAACACCATGGACAGACAGAGGGAACACAGAGAAGTGGGATCAGGCAGGCAAAGAACAAAAACCTAACAAATGGCAAAATCACAACAGAAAACACACTCGGAATAAACAAAAGCATAAGGAAACACAAAACACTGAGTCCTCAGACTCAGGACCATGACAATTATGTTCATTAATTGTTCCCTTAATTATTCAAACTTGATTCAACCTATCATGTTCTAGGGCAGTGGTTCCCAAACTTTTTTTGCTGGGCCCCCCTTTGTTTTACAAGAAAAATGTTGCCCCCCCGCGCATGCACGCACACATCCTCCAACCACACACACCTATATTTTGCTCCATTGCGGTTTATTTTACACCTCAAACATTTAGTAAACAATTAAGCAAATACAAGTAATCTGCAATAAATTACAGGTAGTAAGAAAATAAACTACTAACTCTTTCACGCTACGTCCGCACCTACACAGGTATTTTTGAAAACTGTATAAAGTATAGTATAGTATGTATATCTCCAAAATGTCAGGAGTAGTTAGTCATTACAAGAAGTGTTTGTGAACTAAAAATCACGAATGTGGGATACTGTTTGTCCGTGATTTAAACAGCCCAGCGCTGCTCCCGACGAAGGGAAAACCAATTCTGCAGGGGAGACCTACCTTGGCACTTGTGCAGGTGAAGCCAAAGGGAAGATATGCTTCACCATATTTTCTAGTCTTTGGCTTAGAATGAAGTTGGTTTGGAAACATATTCAGCTATGCTTCATCTCCTGCTTTGCGTTTGTGTGGGCCCCGTGCTAGCAGTGTCCGATTTTTGTTTTCCCCTGCATGGCTCTGCGCCCCACACTTTGGGAAGGTCTGGTTTAGGGTTAATACATATATAATCTTCAATTTTATTTATTTGGGTAAATGACACACACACAAAGAGGTTATTCATACTTTCATAAGGTGAGAGGAAGAGTACACGCTGGACAGGTCATCAGTCTGTCCGCTGTGAGGCGGCACAAAATCTGAATGCTGCTGAGTTTAGACGTGTGAACTGCTGTGGCTCTAAATGACAGAACACTCATTAAACTTATGAGATGTGTTCTGCACAAGAGTCCTGGTTCAGTGGTGAGGTACACCCACCTCTGACCTCTGTACTGGTGATATATATCACGCCACTACAGTGTAACCTACTATAATAATGCTGTTGACATGTGGTCACTCTACAGGACATGCTCACATAGTTAACAAATATGCATGCTCCTGCTCAGAGGTAAACCAGGACAGCTACATTCCTGGGCAGAGTGAGACCATTAACCTTTTTCCAAAGAACTAAATTTAATCTAGGCCGTTAACTTTTAATTTTAGCATGTTGGTGAATTTTAAAGCACAGAGGCTTTCATTTCTGAGAAAACATTTTCTGCTGTTTGACAGCAGCGGTTTGAAAGCTCAGTACGCTCCCTTGTGTTCAGGGCATAGACCCCTGCCTTTCCCTAGATTTACATTTCACCTTACTTTTGCACAGCCTACTTTATCTACTCAATGAATATAGTGTCTACCCTTCTCTTACCCCCCTTTACACTGAAACAATACATGAGAAACATTTCACTGAGACTCTGGATGGGACCTGATATTAAATTGTATCAAGTATGTGTTGGTTTATAAGCTAAGTTGCATGAAAAATAAAAATTAAAACCACCTGAAGCTGCATCGCTGTATCACTTTAGTAAAAGTTCATGCAAAACTATAGAGAGGCTGTGCCTTGGAATGAGGCGCCATCTGGTGGTTAAAAGTGGGTCTCAGGCTCAGAAAGGCCCCTGCAAGATTCTGGGTGGAGGCTGGACCTTTAGACAGACAGGCTGTGTGTGAGTCCTCTGCTGCAGTCCAGGCTGAAACAGTGGACACTTTCATTTGGCGTCATGTCTGCGAGGTTTGTATTTTTATTTACTGACTGAA